ATGCCTCGAGTAGAATCTCGACAAGGCTACGAAGCCTACGACTACGAAGTCGACCCAAACAACTACGAAGTTGTATGCCTCGAGTGGAATCTCGGCAAGGCTACGAAGCCTACGACTACGAATTCGATCCAAACAACTACGAAGTTGTATGCCTCGAGTGGAATCTCGGCAAGGCTACGAAGCCCACGACTACGAAGTCGACCTAAACAATCGAAGTTGTACCCCAACTACGGCATAAATAGGAATTAACCACACAACCCACTAAATAAGACTACCAACAGTGGCGAAAAAACTTAGTTTCAACAACTATGAAGTTGTTGAAATCTGTGCTCGACTTCGACCAGCTCGCACAAGGGGTTGGGAGAGGTCGACCCGAAAAACTTAGTTTCAACAACTATGAAGTTGTTGAAATCTGTGCTCGACTTCGACCAGCTCTCACAAGGGGTTGGGAGAGGTCGACCCGAAAAACTTAGTTTCAACAACTATGGAGCTGTTGAAATCTTTGCTCGACTTCGACCAGCTCACACAAGGGGTTGAGAGAAGGAGGAATGGCAGCAGGTAAAGTTGACCCTAATTATTGCGAACAACCATAACACTTTAATAACTCGAGAAAGCAGAAAAACGCAATGAACAAAAAAGAAAGAAAAACGACTGATGATAATATTCATAATACCATTACAAGACGAGTCGCCCTGGCCTTTACAAGCCTGAAAATAGGCTTAGGACGACAAACAAAAGACGCCGACAAAACAACGAATCATAAAACAAAGACATCATAACGGGCACAATCCCAAGATAAAATAAATCTAAGACTCAGCGTCCGACTTGTCAGCAGCATCGCCACCATCGTCAACAATTGTGGCGGTTTTCTCGGCATCGGCCCCCTCCCTTTGCTCTTCAGCATACTCGTCGGCAAGCGGCTCCGTGCCCTGCTCGATTTCTTTCTCATTCCCCACGTGATCAGCCCCACTCGGTTGGACCAGGTTGATCGGGCCAGTCAAGGGGGTAGGAGGAACTTCGAGTTGAAAACTCAGCCCGGCCTCAAAAATAGCACGAGCCTCGAGACCCTACCACCACTGATGATCACCGAGAAGGGAATCATCATCTGCATATCCCACGGGGTCAGGAAGGGTCTCTTTCAAAGCGGCCTTGTCGACCTTTCCAGCCAGCTCGGTATTCGCCACCGCGGACTCCCAAGCCGAGAAGGCAAAATCAAAGTACTCGACAGCGGTAGGGACCAACTCATCGAGGAAGTCAGTGGATTTGCAGAAGGCCTTGACAACCTCCTTACGATAGGTCTCCATAAAAATGGAGCCCATCGGAGACTTCAAGAACGATCTCCTCCCCTCCTCGACGCCGGCCTCCTTCTCGGCAAGGGTTTCTTCACGAGCCTTCTCAAGGTCCACTTTGAGCTTCTCGTTGGCATGGCGAGCTACAGCCTTGTCGGCCTTCAACTTGTCGATAAGGGCCTGGGCGGCCTCAAGATCCTCTTTCAGCTCCTCGATTTCTTTGCGCTGAGGCGCGCATTTGTCCTCGAGGGACTTAGTAGAAACAGCAGGGGCCTTGCTGCACTCCTCGAGGCAGGGGAGCGCTGCTGCCAGAAACTGCGAAAAACACGATTCGAAGGTTGGTAAGACAAGTCGAAAATATACGTAATCAAAGGACCAGCAAAGGGAAGGAAAGATACCCGAGCGAGCATTTGGGTAGCATAGCAAGAACGTTCGTAGAGATTTCCCTCGACACGTTTCTTGTCGGCCTCAGGAATAGTAGAGTTGAGATACTTGGCCACGTGATACGGCTCGGGGTGGTTCCAAAGCCGAGAAGGCATCTTAACAGTCACGTCCTTAACGGTAATGTCCGCCGCAGTCTTCTCGACCACTTTCTCTTTTCTCTTGTCGACCTTGCGATGTTTGAGGTCGTCAGGGATCAGAACTAAAGGCCGATCATCTTGAGGTCTCTTGCGGGACCCCGAACCAGACTGTTTACGTTGACCCGAGGCACCAGGGGCCTCGACTCGAGATTTCCGTGCAGTGGCTGTCTCGAGGGCCGTCGCAGCAGCCTTTGACCCCAACCCGCCGGGAGGAGGGGGACCAGAACCGACAGCCGGTTGATCGGCCGATTGTTTCTTCTTAAGCTCGAAACGCTTAAGTGCTTGAACTGAAAAAGAAAAAAAGAGAGAAACACGCGATAGTAAAATACGAAAGCAACCATCGACAAAAATGAACACAAAAGAGCAATAGAACGAGTAACCACTTACGAGGATCGTCGAGGCGAGGGAGATCCTCATGAATAACAATTCTAGCATGATTGACAAGTTCACGGTCCCTTATTATTCGACGGGCACTATAATTATGCTTATTAAGCTCCTCTAAGAGCCTTTCAAAGTCCGCAGACCGAGGACGTTTCTTTTGTTTCACCTTGATGGTTATCCAGTTATTTACATAAGGATAGGCACCGACAGGAGGACGAATAAATACAAACTTCGATTTCCACTCAGTGATATTCGAAGAAAGGTCATCGAGAAATGAGACGCCAGATCGGCGGACCAGACAGTGAGCGCCTTTCTGAAGTCGATAACTATAGCAATAGAAGAAAAACTCGGGCAAAAAAAAGCGAACTACTATGCGAGAGACGACTATAAAAGCTATCATAATACACAGGGCATTGGGAGAAAATTGATTTATAGGGATACTATACAAGTTACTTATCGACAGGAGTTCGTCTTGAATAGGAAAACGAAGAGCAAAGACGATCTGGTCGATGAAAAAAGTATGGCAACCCTGTGGAGGGCGGGCAAAGTCGTTATCAGGGCCAGGAACAACCAACTCCCAATCGGAAGGAAGCCCACTGAACTGCCTAAAGCCCTCGATTTGAGCTGCAGAGGCATAAGAGAAGGGATTTAGAACGGC